TCTACAGTGAAAGGTACAGCTTGGAATAAAACTCAAATTATTTGGTTTGAACTACTAGACATTCATTCTGCCTAACAGGAAAAAAAAAAGTGTACTAGATTCCTGCTAGGTAGGAACTTTAAAAACAAAACCTTGAGGTGTGAATTTTGTATTGTGTGTACATGTTTTAATGGGATAAAAAATATTTAAAGCACCCAAAACCTTGGATACGCTAGAAAGCATTCTACAACTGAACTACAAAAGGGACAGAGACAAGGAGACAAGGAGGGAGGGAGAGCAGAAAGAAGGGAGGGAGGGAAACAAGGAGGGAGGGAGGAGGAAGAAGGAAGAGAGGGAGAGAGACAGGGAGACAGGGAAGGAGGGACAGGGAGAGAAGGAGAGAGACAGGGAAACAAAGAGGGAGGGAGGGAGATAGACAGGGAGATAAGGAGAGATACAGGCAGGGAGGGAGGAAGGAGAGGAGAGAGGGGAAGGGAGGAAGGGAGGAAGGCAGGGGGTCTGAGAAACTTGGCTATGCTGGAAAGCATTCTACAACTGAGCTCTGTCCCCAGCCTGAAAATTATCTTTGAAGGACTAGTTTCAGAGTGAGCACTATATTTGTACTATGTACCTATGTGTTCCCTTAGGTAGAGTCAAGTGAATTCTGATTCAAATTTACAAGCCATATTAAGTTTTTTCTTTTAAGTTTGACAAAGGCTTTCAGAACAAGAATCCATACCTCAAGCTATTCCACTCAATGTGGCACAGCAGTGATGTCAGTAAAATAAGGGAAAGGGCCAGGCATGAGGGTACACGCCTTTAATCCCAGCAATGAGATGGAGGCCAGCCTGGTCTACATCACTGCAGTGCCACATTCAGGGGTAGGAACTGAGAATACAAACTAAGTAATTCAGGCTTCTGTCCCCTTAAAGAGCTCACAATTTCAACTCAGCAACTGCCGGACACCTTAACAGAAATGAATCTCAGTTATAAAATACACTTGAAGTTTAGGTGTGAAATACTCATTCTTTTGAAGAAAATGGGTTTTTTGTTTGTTTGTTTTTATATGGACCACTTCACGAATTTTCATGTCATCCTTGCACAAGGGCCATGCTAATCTTCTCTGTATCATTCCAATTTTAGTATATGTGATGCCAAAACGAGCACAAGGAAAATGATCTAATATACAGTTATCATAGACAACTGGAGCTTTTCCACAGTTGATAATGGTATATTCTTAGTTACAGGTGTTTACTCCTCTCTCCACTCCCCAGTATTGAGGACTGAACATGGAGCCTCACACATGCTTGGCAAACTGTGTCCCTGAGCTATCATCCAGCTCTAGCCATTTTATGACATATCTTTTTCAACTATGATTGCAATAGTCTTTGCTGGTTTTTGAGGGATGTTTTGTGTTAAAACCAAAGTAAGAGCTTTCACTGTCTCTATGTGGGTTTCCAGATTATTCACCATTTCCTTCCCCCATCTCACACATTTGCATGATACATTTGTTATGTACTGACAGGTAATCACAGCCCAGAGTTTTAGGTGAAGATGTAAAGCAAGTACAGGTGCTTCTATCCAAATACACAATGATCCATGTGCACCTGTCACAATTTGCATCCTATGCACAAACATTAGAATTACACCTGACTTTATTCCTTAAGAAAAAATACACATCCCCATTTGCTAGCTCCCAACTTAAACCTGATACTTAAATGCTGTCTCCACAGTGGTGAAATAAGATAAAACAAGGTATCTGATCATAATTTCCAGTATTTCAGAATCTACTCCAAAAGGTAATGAAGAGACAGAGCTCCCAAGCAGTGATCGCTGAAGAACTCCACACATCCTTTCTACACGAGGCTTCCCCACATCCGGCAGTGTGAGCACAATTGGTATCTCACTGTAATATTCTGGCCATACTTCATGGCACTAGTCAGGAGAAGCAAATCTTTGTATACTGAAAACCATTACACAAGTGTCAGGAACCAGATCTAGAGATCACTCGTCATCACATGTACAAAGTCAATATAATCAAGTTTTTGGGTTTTTTTTTTGGGGGGGGGCACTGCTTACACTACTCTAGGTTGTCAGAAAATGTTCTTTTTAATATAAGAAAGATATTACTATGCATGGATTTTTAGTTGATGGGTTTTAGCACAGTACTGTACTTTATGAAAGGAGGGGAGGTCTTGAATTTTTGTAACCAAGTAGCTACTGACAGAAGGCTCTAGAGCAGTGATTCTCAACCTTCCTAATGCTGCAACCTTTAACACAGTTCCTCATGCTGTGATGACCCCCAAACATCAAACTATTTTGCTGTTACTTTGTTATCCAAATTTTGCTCCTGTTATGAATCATAATGTAAATATCTGATATGCGAGCCAAAAGGGGTCAAGACCCACAGGTTGAGAACCACTGCTCTAGAAGCACAATTAGGGCAGTATAAGGACAGCAAAAGAAACCATTTAGTAATTTGATTCCTTGTATTTTCCCATTGGGCTCAATGCAGAGAAGTGCCTCCTACTGTTTCCACAGAGAACTTCTAATGCTGTTAGCCTTGGAGCTGTCCCACATTTCCCTGTCAGGGTCTGAAAGGCACTGTAGGCATCAAAGAGTCACTAATGGTTTTAACCACTGGAGACTGAAATGGATTTGTTTGCCAATGTTTTCCATTAATGAAGATTACCTAGCTAGGTCCCTAATGACACTTGTTTATAACAGACCTCCCAGGAAGCAGAAACCTACACACAAACTGAAATAAACACTAGTGCAGAAGTTACTCTCTCCAGAGATCTAAAAGTAGCAGAGGGCAATAGCCATACCAACAGATTCAAACAACCTTTGAATCAAAACCACTAGGAAAAAAACCATCTCTGCACTGAACATACAAAGACTTTTTTATCATTACTCACGAGGCACTATAACTTTACAAACCGTTCACATCATAATGGGCCTCTAGCGATTATTTAAAGTATACGGGAAGATGTGTACTTATATGCAAATACTAGGAAGATAAGGAACTTGAATATCTGGGGATTGTGTGTATATCAGAGGAATGTTGCTGGAATCAAACCCATGTAGACAGCAAGTGGGGAGAATGATTAGAAAATGTCAGGTTTTTCTACTACTCTAGAAAACAAACAACATATATAATTAGCATGGGAAAAATTCCCTTTTAACTAATATTTATATGGGTAAAACATCTGTATTTAGCTTTCTATGCACATGTGTATATGCATGTATGTATGTGCAGGTGTGTGTGTTTCAGGAATCCTTTAGTCCCTCTCTCTTTCCAGTCTGGGGATCACAAACGTGTCACTGCTCCTGACATTTTTCCATTGGTTCTATGAACTGAACTTGAGTCCTGATTGTGAAGCAAACACTTCAGTGACTTGGTGATCTCTTCTGCTCTTAATGATGAGTAAAGCACTATGGAGATTCTGAAGTATGACCCCTTATACAGCATTAATGTTACAAATGTAGGATGGCTTCTCCCAGTTAAATATATAGCAGCTGCCTTCCTAACCTGAATTTCTATTATGAGCCTATCATTCAATATGCTTTGCTTAAATTCCTTACTTTGTTCTTTTTCAATAGCACAGAATAGAACTTTTACTACTTCATAGTATTAGGTCAATGTGCCATTGTTTCTTTCCATCATCCCTTAACTGGCTGTTTCCAATCTTTTACTGTTTATGTATATTTTAATGAAAAACTTTTGTTCACTTGGGTTCAATCTAAATGTAAAACAGATCTACAAAAGTGACATATTTTGATAAAAGGGCAAAAGTCTTCTTACTTAAACAGCTAACTACCAGTTTCTCCTCCATAGACACTGGGCCGTTGTGTAGTAAGACTTCTCTGAAGACTGTCTACAGATATACACATGATTGGTGCTAAGAATGACATGGCCAGAGTGTTGCTTACATTTATGAGCAAGCAACTAGAACCACATGTCACCAGAAAGTGAAAGGACAGCTGAAGAACTAATGCAGTGCCAGGCAGTGGTAGTGTACGTCTTTAATCCCAGCACTCAAGGCAGAGGCAAACGGATCTCTGGGTTCAAGGCCAGTCTCATCTATAGAGTGAGTTCCAGGATAGGCAGGGCTATATACACACACACACACACACACACACACACACAATCAAAAAAGAAAACTATCTCAAAAACAACTCAGTAAATTAATAAACTAATGAAGGCTAGAATTAGGAGGATAAACCTTAGGAGGTAGAAAAGCAGGCATTGTATGTAAAGAAAGGTAAATGGGCACATGTAAGGTCACCAATCCAATACCAGCATCTAAGCCATGTCTTCCAGCACCAAGAGATGCATACTGACTCAGCCATTGTCTTATCTGATCCTGGGATCTATGAGGCTGGGATACAGGTATGGAACCCAGAAAAACAAAAAGGCAGGACTGGTTTATTCTCATTAACATCACGCCTTAATCCACCGAGTAAGGCAACCCTACATTGAATAGTCATACATCTGATGCACCCTCTCTTGTAGTAACTCCTTTGTATGTGGGTCTCTTGATTCCATTCTCCTGTGACTATGAAGCTGGTGATCTAGACAACTGTGACAATATAAGTAGGTATAGTGCTGACAGGAATATGTGACATGGTTAAGGGATCACATCAGGAAAAGCTGCTTTCCCCAAACTCAGCCCATCATAGCCACGCTTTACATTAGCCTGACATTGTATACAACCTGGAATTCTGCCACCAAGAAACGTAAACCTTCTGGCAGTAAGAAAATCTAGTGATAGTCCCACCTGAACCTTTCCCCTACTTAAGTAAGCCCTCGGATCCTGTGGGGAAGAACAGGATGGGTTGTGTGTAACCCATCCTAAACCTGCTACCTCTTTCCTCCCAGGATTCCTGAAAACATGAAGTGAAACAAAAAACGAATCAATTAACTATCAGATAAAAACAAGTCCACTGCTTAAACCATCCAGGAGTAACACACACACACACACACACATACACACACACACACACACATCAAACCTTACCTTTCTTTTATCTTCATCTGTTGATTCAAATTTGAAAGTAGCCCTATGCTGAAGAGGGGAAAAGGAAACATTGTCATTTTAATACATACATTTTTAAACAAAATATATAAACTATTTTTCTCATAAAATAAAGACAGACATAATAATATAAAAAATAAATGTAAAGCCACATGGAAAGACTATGGCAGAAACACAAAAGGAAAAGAGAGAATTAAAAGCAACTACTCAAGAGGAGGTGGGATGCCTAGCGCAAGACACTGGATAACTGAGCTGGACTTTGAGAGATATTATGTGTTTGCTGTAGATGTGTGAACCATATATTCATGAAGCCAGAAGCTCTGGGAGAAAAAACAGACACATTAGGGGATGGCACACAGAAGATGAGACTGAAATACAGACTGGACAGGGAATGGAAATGACCATCATTGTGCTGGGCTTTTCTTTTTGAATTCCATAAGAAATCATCAGAGGTCAGGCAGTGGTGCCCGCCTTTAATCCCAACACTCGGGAGGCAGAGACAGGCAGATCTCTGAGTTCGAGGCCAGCCTGGGCTACAGAGCGAATTCCAGGACAGCCAGATAGGGCTATACAGACAAACCCTGTCTCCAAAAAAACAAAAAAACAAAAAACAAAGAAAGAAAAAAGAAAAGAGCAGAGAACTGCAGAGAAAGACAAAACTGTGGAAAGGAGACTCCTCTCTCTTACTAGTTGTAACTTCAAGCAAGTAAACTGTACCATGGCGCCTCTTGGGTAAAAAGTACTTAGCTAAAGGGTGATTGTGAGGGTTCCGTAGCTATAGCACATAAAACACCATCTCACTGCCTAACCAGTAGCAAACTGTTCATTAGGGTGCTGCTGCTGCTAATGATATTAACAGAAAGGAAGAGTGTCATGGTTCCCCTGAAATGACTGGTACAGTGCATTTTCTATTTTGTAGCAGATGCACAGGAGAATGGAGAGAACAACCAACCTATCTGCATAAGGAGTGGTGGTCACAAGACCAAGAGCACACAATTACGATTCTCTCACATTTTAGCCAGAAATGCTCACCTGAGTCCCAGCTGAAGTTTTCCCACGGTACACCAACAAGCCCCTCCTCTGAGGGCTCTACTACCTTTCCTATTTATCTCGCTGTCCATGCTGACCCACATGACTGGCAGCCCACTACAAGTGTGAAGGACAGCATCATTTTGGTAGTTCTGTTTTATAGCTTTGCAGAAACAGTGTGTAAAACAAAATGAGCTACAGAAATGTTGGGAGGGAGGCAGTTTGAGTATAAGAAGTAGTTAAAAGAAAAACAAGAGGTTAAGACATAAGGGTCATTTAAGAAAACCTCAACATGGCTACTCAAACATGAACCAAACCAGGAAACAGGTGATGTGAGAGAGAAGGGCAAGACGTAAAACTTTATATCTGAACTGGCAACAGGCTACACATGACCTGGGCAAGTCTAGGATGGAATATAAACAGCATTCTGGATGGGGTATTTTGGGCAGTAGCCCATAGGCCAGCTCAAGGAGAGCAAGACAGAAGGCAGAAAGCCATGTGAGAAGCGGGCATCACAAGCTGGGATAATGAATACCATTTGACACAAACCTTTTAAAGGGAAAGTGATTTGGCAACACATCCTAGAAGCCACAAAAATATTTACCCCATTTGACCCAGAACTCCTACTCCTATGAGTTTATTTTAATGAAGTCATTTAGAGTGAGAGAAAAATCATCTATGTAAGCACATTCACGACAGTGTTTTCTAATACAGTAAGCACATTCACGACAGTGTTTTCTAATACAGTTAAAGAGGCAAGCTGAATATACAACACTGAAAGAAAAATGTGTATGTCACAATATTCTACTGAACATACCATATCTATCTAATAAAATACTGTGTAGCAACTAAAAGAAAGGTGGCTCATTGGGATGATTTTATAGTAAAAATCTTGAGTAAATGAACAGGGAGGAAAGAGAGGAGAGGGCAGAAGAGGAGGCCATGAATCTGAGCCTATACTTGGGAATTTACAGAGTCAGAGTTCACTGAAACCTAGCACTACAGACAAGGAGGCAGCAGGCCAGCATTCTAAGTGGACATTCAGTACAGGCCCCCTATAAACGAAGATAATTATATTAGAAACCAAGAAGGCTTAGTTTGTGTCATTCTATATAAAATATTAATTTTGTAGTTATTTGGAATAAATGTATCTAGTTATTAAAACTTAATACTTCTAATTTTTTGGCATTTATAAGGACAGGACAGGAAAAAAATAACTCTTGTTTGGAAAGATACTCAGTAAGTTACAAAGATGTCTTCTAAGTATTTCCTACATAGAATTATTTTTTTAGGAGAGAATGTAGAATAGTACCAAAGGCTAATTTTTCACTTTTCTGTTGCTTTTTCACAGAAAGTCCGATTGAAAATAATAATTTAAAATAATTATAAAAACAGCATTTAAAAAATTTCTAAGGGCCTATCTAGCCAGCATGAAAGCTTAATTTAATTAGAAAATACACTAGCATGGGGGGACACGGAAAATTAAACTCTGAATGGACCAAGCTATTTAGAAACTCAACCCCAAAGATCACTGTATCCAGAAGATGCTGGATTCTATGAGGCTGGCTTCAGTTACATAAGCTAGATCAGACTTAACATACTATCCCACCTCTCCTTCCAGTACTTTTAAATACTTTTCATTTTTGAGACAGGACTTTCCTAGTGTTCCAGGCTGGCATGGGGCTCTTCAATCTTGCTGCCTCACTCCCCTTTCTATAGCTCAAAGGGTGGGAAGAAAACTAGCATCCAGGTGTACATGCCTCACTAGAGCTGTTAGCCTTTTTATATACTTCATTTCCAGAATAGGAGCAAACTGAATATAAATCACAGAGAAAAGTCACTGTTCAGCTTCAAGTCCAGGCAAGCTAGAATCTCTTAGGGACACACCACACTCATGACTGCAGGTTTCATCACCTATGAGAGCCCCCCCCCCAAAAAAAAATACTCAGCCATCAGATAACCTCAAATATGATCTCAGTGCTGCTGCTCACTGAGGGCAACCCTGGTCAGGCTGCCCTTTACTATCCCTAAAGTTTTCCTGATTTTTTTATGTTATGGATGGCACCTTGCACATGGTAGGTATTCTTTAAACCGCCACTACTATTGTTACTACATGGTCTCTGCTCTAGTATCTGGCTAAACACTGACCTATTACAGAATTCAGAGTTAGTGCATTGATGTCTACAGGTACACTAAAAGACTGCTTCTAAGGACTCAAAACAGACTGTAAAACAATTTGTAAGTAAATACAACCTGGAACAAGGATATCGCTATGCAAAAACCTAGGGCAAGCCCAAAGTCAAAGCTCAACCTCAAAGATGGAAAGCAAAACATCCTTCTACATGGTCCAGGATATTTAAATCCCCATTCAAATGCAGAGGCTGCATTTCTAGAACTGTTTCCATGTTAGTTTTTTCATCAGTCACATTCTTCTAGGATATAAATGATGAGCTAAAGGCTACCAGCAGTTTTCCTTTCCTGGAACTAACTCTTGGAGACCTACTGAAGAGACAGTATCTTAAATAACTTTTTAATCATTTATCTGATCATAAACTTCCATATTTCCAAAATGGAATCCTGCTGGAGATGGCTGTGGGACAGGACATGTCCAGGTTGCCTCTATGGAATGTTATGCCTTCTCGGATTTATCAGTCACAGTTAATTAACTCAGTTTCTTCACCTATTAAGTGACAAGTTTGGTTCTTTCAGCTCAGTGGCAGAGCATTTTCTTACAAGCAAGACCCTGGGCTCAAAGGCTAGTACCTCCCCACCAGGCCATTAGTCCCAGCACTCAGGAGGTAGAGACAGGCATCTTGGCATTTGAGGTCAGCCTGGTCTACAGAGGGAGTTCTAGGACAGCTAGGGCTACATAGAGAAACCTGTCTTGAAAACAACAACAAAATCACAATGTTACAATGTACCTCAGGCCCATGACAGTGAAGCTAATGATGGTTAACAGCCTCTCTACTAAACCGGTTATCTGAGCAGACCCGGAAGGAAGACCAGGAGCTAAGATAGTCTAAGCTATAGCAACACATCTCAAAACAAACAGTTCATTCTGTAACTAAAGGAGAGTGCTTAGGGCTCACCAGTTGCAAAGAAAGTAGTACACTGCTCCTGAAAATAAAACCTTCCTATACTCAAAAGCAAAATCAACAAGAGAAAGGCAACACAGCTCTGCAAAAGTGACCTGGGTGAGGAATCTAAAGACCACATCTGCCACTTGTAGCCATGTGCTCTTGGGCCTGTATGCAATCACCTTGTCAGTCTGGACCTCCATCTCCTATTTAAAGAAATATGAAAATACTTCCATCTCTCTTATAACTTTTAATGTAAGGGGATTGTGTATGCAAATTCTTAAAAAAGTCCATAGTGCCTACAAGACACACAATAAATGTTAACAGGTGAACTTAGGAGTGAGAAACAGCTACTCTCGGGGAGGGGGGAGGTGTTCAAGACAGGTTTTCCCTGTGTAGTCCTGGCAGTCCTAGAACTTGCTCTGTAGACCAGGCTGACCTTGAACTCAAAATCTGCCTGCTTCTGCCTCCCAGGTACTAAAATTAAAGGCCTGTGTCACCAGCACCCAAGAAATAGCCACTTTAATTCAAAGAATTATTTTCCTATTCTGAACAAGTTACCCTTGACAAACAGACACTTTTTTTTTTCTTTCCGGGATAGAGATTTCTCTACGATAACAAGGGCCAGCAAATGAAGCAAGGGTACTTGGAGATGAGTCTCTCTATAACAGGTATATTCTGGAGTCACATAGCCACTGGCTGCTCTGAAAGCAGTAAGAGATATACTGTGGTAATGATACCATTGGAGGAGCAAAGGTTAAGATAAAGAGTGGGAAAATCCCCAAACTTCTTAGTGTGTTCAGTGCCACAGGCTTTGTTGACAGCAAACAGCCATGGGCTTCTTCAGCAGCAGGCCCTGTTCTAAGTGCTTTACACATAACCCAGCCAATCCTGACCAAAGCCCTAGGATATGGACTCTACTCTCCTCATTTGACAGAGAATAGAGAAGCACAGTTAGAACTTGGACTTGGCCACATACATTGTAAACTGAGGGTGAGTATCCAGGGAGTCCAGCTCCAGAGCTACTCTGGCCACACCCACTCATGAAGGATCCAGACTATTAGCTCTTCATAACTTAATGGGGAAGATTTTATAGATATACTGTGCTCAGTGCTTGTCTCTACATTTCAATAGATCTAATCCACATAATAAATAAAAAGAATGGTGTTTTAATTCCCCCCTTTACAGATAAGACAACCAGGACCCAGAGGCTTGAAATAACTTATCCACAGTCATGAAGCTATTAACAGCAAAGTTGAGATTAGAACCAAGGTTTATCTGATGCCAGACCCCATCTTCTTTCTGCTATACTAGCAACAACCAGCTCCTCTTCCAAACAGCTAACCAATTTCTCTCTACATCACTCATTCCTCTTCCACTTGGACCCCTCAATGCCCCACAATGACTTCTTCCTCTAAACATTTTGCAAATCATTTTTCCAGATAAGAAATCTGAAGGGCATGCTATCCATCTGCTTTCTGGGGGTTTCAGATCAATACACCATAAATCTGGACAGCTTATTTCTATTCTTCTTGCCTGACTGCGGATAGCATACATTACCTTCCCATTCATGTCACCAGAGTTTCTCCCTTTGAGGGACAGTGCTATAATGCAACATAGAGCTCACCTATTTCCTCTGTGCTCCAATCAGCACTACTCTACTAATAACTATTACTATTAGTTACTCTATTGTAACTAATAGTAAACATGAATGCTTTCTCCTAAAGAGCTATCTGGTCCCATTTATACCAAATCAGAACATTCTAAGGTTTGGCCTGGCCAGAAAGGGTGTCTGAGAACCCTCTGAAGCACTTGAGGACATCACCTTAAACAACAGATGATGAGCTGACAGCATTGAAAACACAATCTGAAAGGGGAAGTTAAGCTCAAACAAGATGTGGCCATGAGTGATGGGAAGAAATCAACCTGAAGGGAGATAAAGGAGAGGAAGGGATAAGCTGGAGGAAACAAATAAATGGAACCTAATTAGTTTAGCCACAAAACAGTGACCACTGGACTAAGAGCCCAGTGTAGGTTTTCCTCCTCCCTTCCCTGTAGAAGGAAGTTCCCATTATTGCTGGATATCTGGCATATAGTAAGTGCTAAATAAACATTAGTTAATTCAACACAATAGCCAAATTATACTTCCTTTTGAAAATTAGCTTGTAGCTCCCCCCACATCTTCTCTAAAAGCAATAATAAATCAAGTTAAAATAATACAGTCTACGAAGTATGTACACCTATACATTAAATGAGTTTCTCCTAAACTAGGCAGATATGCTCAACACAGACACATATTAGAAAGTGAAGGGGCTAACATGTGACCAGAATATGGCCCATGTATGTTCCCAAGGACTGCATCGCAGCAAAAATGGCACTAGACTTGGAGATGGACAGCTAGACTCAAATCTCAGTTCCATCTTTCAGAGGCTATATGAATTTGGGATCTCATTATCATCACAACTTTTAACATTTGTGAAATGAGGAATACCCTTATTTTGCTCACTAGGTTGCTGGGAGGATTAACTGGGAAGGTTCTTTCAGAGGTATGTCTCCTTTGGGGTTGTTTTCTACTAAGGGCAAAAATGGCATGCTGGCTGTTCATTGCCACAAAGTCTATGAAAGTGCAGTAGTAGACACATTACAGAAGGTGAGACCATCAACAGAGGGGCAATGGCTTATAGCTTTCAGAGGGGGCTGATAAACAGGAAGGAAACTATGAGGAATAAGGTACCAGTTATATCTATAGTGTACCTTGGTGCTGGGTGTGTTTTCATAGAAGAGAGTCATCAAACATTCTCATACAAGCTTAGCCTCCTAAAGGACTAAAGGTGCTAGGTTGGCCACTTCCTCAAGTGAACATGAAATTGCTGGAAGGAAAAGAAAGGGAGAGCTAACGGTTCTTGAGAGAGAGAAAGAGAGAGAGAGAGAGAGAGAGAGAGAGAGAGAGAGAGAGAGAGAAAGAGAGACATTCTCCAGAGAAGGTAGTGGTGTTTATAACAAGACAGCATTTCACTGTAGAGTGGAAGAACAATGAATGGACAGTTTGAATACCTAGGTGGGAAGACTCTGGCTCCCAAGAATGACCTTGGGCTAGTTATTTAGCCCATCTAGAGTCTCTTGCAAAACACAGATAATACCTCACAGGGCTGCTGTGGAGATTAAATGAGATAATGAATAGGAAAGCTGTTAATGCGATACAAATAACAGGTATTATTAGGAGTTGGATTTTCCACCCACTTACAATATATGTCCATGACCTTGGGCGTGATTTCAGTTCTTTGCACCTCGGTTTCCTCATCTATAAAATGGGAAGGATGATACCATCTACCCTATAAACACTGAGGATCAAAGGAGATCACATATAGGACATCAATGCCTGGAAAGCCGTACAATGGTATTGGTACATAAAGAACTGCCATCGTTGCTGGTATGTTCTATGCATGTCAAGGGCTGTGTTTATGCAGAGAAGCATGTATTTCTACAGTATGCAGGTGAGAAAGCCTCGCATGCATTGTATGCATCCAGGAGTGGGGCACTGGGCAGAGGCGCATCTACGGATTCTGGGGGTGTGACTTGCACGGTTAGGAAGAAGACCACAGGACAGGCTGCTGG